TGCTGTCCAACCTCACATGTTTTACCTGGTGCACATGGTCCTCCACAATCCGTATCCGATTCACCTTGATTTAAAACTCCATCACTGCATGATGGACCTGAAAAACAGACGATCACTCCTTAAATATTATTCCACATAGAACACCTACCATCACATTGATTACTACTGTTGCACATTCCACTTGTACAATCTGTTGTTCCATTGCAGTGCTGTCCAACCTCACATGTTTTACCTGGTGCACACGGTCCTCCACAGTCAACATCAGCTTCACCTTGATTTAGAATTCCATCACTACATGATGGACCTGAAAAACAGACGATCCCTCCTTAAATATTACTGCCTAGGGGTGCACCAGTGCCAGTAACTGGGTACCCGTCGGACTGGGTACCCAGTCCGATTGGTACCCAGTTAACTAGGGGTACCCAGTCGGACTGCATACCCAGTCCGACTGGTACCCAGTTAACTGGAGGCACCCAGTCCGACTGGGTAAAACTTCGAGTTCTAGCAAAAATACCTATGGATTCTTGTTTTATGAATTCTCACTGTCATTCGATGTAAGGCCCAGTCGGACCGGGTGGGCACCCAGTCCGACTGGGCCTTACATCGAATGATACTTACTTTACATAGAACAAGAACCTATAGGTATTTTTGCTAGAACTCGAAGTTTTACCCAGTCGGACTGGGTACCTCCAGTTAACTGGGTACCAGTCGGACTGGATATCCAGTCCGACTGGGTACCCCCGGTTAACTGGGTACCAGTTGGACTGGGTACCCAGTCCGACTGGGACCCAGTTCACCAGTCAGGACTGGGACTGGTGCATCCCTAATTACTGCGCATAGAATACATACCATCACATTGATTACTACTGTTGCAGATTCCACTTGCACAATCTGTTGTCCCATTGCAGTGCTGTCCAACCTCACATGTTTTACCTGGTGCACACGGCCCTCCACAGTCAACGTCAGCTTCGCCTTGATTTAAAATTCCATCACTACATGATGGACCTAAAAAACACACAATCACTCCTTAAATATTATTTCAGATAGAGTACATACCATCACATTGGTTACTACTGTTGCACATTCCACTTGTACAATCTGTTGTTCCATTGCAATGCTGCCCAATCTCACATGTTTTACCTGGTGCACATGGTCCTCCACAGTCAACATCAGCTTCGCCTTGATTCAAAATTCCATCACTGCATGATGGACCTGAAAAACAGACAATCACACCTAAAATACTATTACATATAGAACACCTACCATCACATTGATTACTACTGTTGCACATTCCACTTGTACAAT